AGAAGAATGATGGTTAAAGTTAGGCAAAACAGCAACGGGTGGAGAGAGGGAAGATGAATAGGGTGCTGATGAAGTAGACAAAGTATTCCACAAAGGATATGGGAACCTGTTTTCATTGAATAAAATATCCTTTGAGATGTATATGCGGCCATCAAGACTTTGACATACATAACCCTTATGATTTGTAGCATAGCCAAGGAATAGACATTTTTTGGGACCTAAATTCCAACTTATGTTTATTGTAAGGTCGAAGGAAAGTAAAACATGCACAACCAAAATTTTTAAGAAACTTATAGTCTGGTACTATGTTGAATAGCTTGGTGTAAGGAACTTGAAACTCCAAAGAAGCTATTGGCAACATATTAATAAGGTGCACAACAGAGAGGAAAGCATAGTCCCAATATTGCATTGGCAAATAGGCAGAAGACAACATGGTTAGACCAGTCTCTACAATATGTCTATGTTTACGTTCGACAACCCCATTTTGATGATGGGTGTGGGCAAGCTACTCTATGGTTAATCCCATGAGAAAGAAGGTATTGTGTGAAAGATCTGGATTCCCCTCCCCTGTCAGTTTGTATGGATTTAATTGGCAATTGAAATTGAGTGGTAATGAAGGTGTGAAATTTTTTAAATGTTTGAAGTGCATCAGATTTCTGTTTCAGTGGATATATCCATGTAAAGCAAGTATGGGCGTCAACAAAAGAAATGTAGTATAGGTATCCCATAATGGATTTTATTGGTGAAGGTCCCCATAAATCACTATATATCAACTCAAATGGTTTGCTGTAAACAGTGGTGGAAGGCTATGAAGGTAAATGGTGAGCTTTGCCAATACAACAAGTTGAATATAAAATGTCAACTGATTTATTATTGAAGGGAATATTACAAGTTTGAAGAACAGACTTGACAACACCTTTGTGTGGATGTCCTAAATGACAATGCCACATTGAATAGACAGAATTTCCTATATCACAAGATTGACCACTATTTACCGAATCTTTATCACTACATATAGCTTGACAAATAGGAGGAACACCACTGGAGTTGAGAAGAACACATGACACATTTTGTGGGGCACGAGTTGAAGCTTGATGAAGATTTATTCCATCAAATTTGTAGAGACCACTGGAGTCAAAAGTCCCTTCAAGTAAAACTTTGTGTGACCCCTGTGATTTGACAAGACAAACAGAGGGATGAAATTCAAAATATATTGAATTGTCTTTTGCAAATTGACTGACACTCACAAGATTTTTCATAATTGAGGGAACAAGAAGAAGATTTTTAAGGTGTAATGGTGTGTGAGGATCAAGAGGTGCAGTGAAATTGGAAGAACCAATAGTTGTGATTGTCAAACCTTGACCATTTCCAATCAATATCTGATCTGCACCAGTAAGCTATTGACTTTGAATTAGGTTCCGTGGTTGGAAGTCACATGATGTGTTGCACCAGAATCCGGACACCACTCTAAGGCAGGAGTGGGAGTTGGCAGAAGTCCCGATTGTGTAGCAACTATAGCTTGTGGTGCAGCTTGTCCAGTTTGTCGAACATACTAAAAGGAGCAGGTTTGTTGCTATGAACCCTGAGGGAAAACAGAGGCAGAAAATGTGTAGTAGTAGCTTTATTAGGTGGAGGGAGTGTTGGAACAAAATTTTCATCATATCTATGCCAACACGTATGAATGTCATGTCCAAACTTGTAACAAAGCTGGCAACAAACATTGGATCTTCCTCCACGTCCTCTGCCTCGATTATTACGTCCTCCATAACGACCTCGTCCTCTATTGGATGGAAAAGAACAACTGGAATTATGGAAACCAGTGTTCTGTTCTAAATCGTGTAAAACAAGGCAAACAAAGTGTTACTGTTGCCACTGTTATTGACAATGCTCTGTTTTCGAGTATTTGATCCTTGTTGAGTCAGATTTACCATTGCTGAGTCACAGATCAATGATTCTGCTTGTTTTGACAGAATCTGTTCATGCGTAATCAGTTGAATATTCAGATTCTCAACAGAATAGGCATTCTCACGTCCATGCACCGTTGTGACAAAAGCAAGATATTCAGCTAGTAAACCTTTAAGAACAATATCAGTACGCTCCTCAATACTTACAGGACTTAATATTGCTTTCAACGAATCACAGATAGCTTTGATTCGTGAGAGATATTCTTTCACAGACTTCGATCCTTTTTTGATTGAGTGCAACTCAGTTCTCAGTAGTCTCGCCTTTGATTTCGTCATTCCTTGAAATAATTTGTGTATTTTATCCCAGGCTTCATGAGAATACTTTACTCCTAGAATCTCATTCACGACAGATTCTGATATGGTAGAGAGAAGCCATAAGAGAAGCATGGAATCCTGTGTAATCCATTTAACTTATGCAGGATTTTGAATTCCATTAATTTGATCTTCCTCTGACTGAAATTGAAGTGGTATTTTTGGATTTACCAAAAAATGATGCATCTGGTGCGAAGTAATAATCGGATCTATGATCTGATTCAATAACAAGTAGTTATTCTATGTCAATATCATAGTTATCTACTGATTGAACAACTGTGGTGCTCTGCTTTCCATTGCGCGATTTTCTGATGTGTGATTCTCCATAATTGCTCTTCGATTTCCTTGTGACAATTCCTGATCTATTGTAGGTGAATCCGATGCATGCAAGTTTGATTTTGGAGATGCGGAAGTCATGGTTTAGCTCAGTATGGATCATGCCTTCAGATCGAAAGAGAAAAGAATGTGTAAGAAAGAGAGTATGAGGAGAGGGAGAGAGGAGAGAGTCCGTTGAAGTGTTTTGAAGAATCTATATGTTGTTATTATTGTTATAAGATACACAAAGAGAGAGTTATATATAGAGATAGATGTTGACTCATACCATGGGTCAGGCCCAATACTAACCGTACAACAAATTCTAACAAATTATTATAGAGATATATTCAGGTGTGTCCTATACTAATATAGATGCACTAATACAGGTGCAGACAAACAAACAAATCTTATATGTTTATGTGCTAATATAAATTCATTTAATATATATATCCTTTGATATTATATTAACATAAAACATGTCAAGTTTTTATAAATATGAGATAACATAATAAATAATATTTTCATTAGTATAAATATAGTATCTTTAAGAAAAATTATCAAAATGTAATTAAGATAGAATTAGTAATTTATTTTGTAAAATAAAAAGACAAAGAGTAACAATTACAGATAGTTTTTATATCTCCAAAGAATTCAACTGATATGTGAAAATAAATATAATGATATATTTAATTTAAATTATGTATACAAATTAAAAATTATATCAAAGTATCATTATATACTTGGAAATTGGAATCATATGATTATTTAATATTAAATATAAGTTTCTTTATTATACTTAAAGACAAATATGTATAATATTTGTTTACCAAAAAAAAAAATATGTATAATATTTTGAATCATACATTATTTTTGAAATAATCTGAATATAATATTTCTTCAAAAAAACAAAGTAATTAAAACAAGCAAGATTATACTTATTACCATTTTATATTTACCACTCTTATATTTATAACATGTTTAATTATCATTGGATCAATTTAAAATTAACAATTGAAAAAAAAATCATTAATTTCAAATTGAATCAAGGACAACCAAACATATTGTAAGAGTGATAAGTCAAAGAAATGGTGGTAATTATGACATCCCGATTAAAACATACACTAAATGTTTTTTATTAGATAAAAGTTCATAGTTATATATATATATATATATATATATATATATATATATATATATATATTTAATTTAAACAAATAATGAAATGTACGAATAAAATATATGATTTTAAATTGTATGGAAAAACAATAAAGTAAATTGTAAACTTTGAACCGGAACCAACTGGATAAGATATTACTGCCAGATTTTTTTTTAAAAGAGAAAAACTCAGACAAAACAATGTTAAGAGAATTCGTAATTTCATTACTAGCTGATTCCTCAAATTGATAATTTTTTTTTTTTTTTTTTATCCAATTTTAAAATCAGTTTTTTTTTTTTTTTTTTTTTTTATTACTCTCCCACCCCCAATTATTTTGGAATGAAAGTATTGCCAATGTTGATGTGTTTACTTGTGGATAATTTGATTGAAAAGTAATTTATGAGCTGAATAAAATGCATAGCACCTGTTCTTCAAACCAAATAATTAGACCAGTCTGGGATTTTACAAATTTGAAGAGAGAAGACATAAATGGAGAAAAGTCATGCATAAATTTCCAGATGTTTGGTGTCTATCTAGAAGGTAGAAAATGGAAGGGAAAGGTCAAGTATGAGAACGATGGAGAAGCCTACACATAGTCATAGACTCATAGTCGCCATGTATGACCAAAACACTTGGCATACACAAACCCTTCTTTCTTTTTATTTCTCCACAATAGAATAGAATAGACCCTTTCATTCACAACCCAAACCATACCAAGTCACGCCGTTTTCACCTTCCGTACCACACCTCCACCTCCATAACACCCTAAACTAAAATCATAAACAAATAAAAATAAATAAATAAATTATTATAGATTTTAATATTTGTACTTTTGTTATAAATTCTTTTTTTTTTTCTAATAAGAGAAGAGAAAAAAAAATATGATGATAAAAATTATAAAATTATTACCTTTAATTTATTCATTAATGATTAAGATTCTTTCTATGGTTATATTAAATAACATATGAGAATATTAATTTTCAACTTTTATCTTGATGTGATAAAGAAAAAAAAATTGCAAATAAAAATAGAAATATATTTTCTATTATTATATATATTATTCAATTTATTAGCAAGTTGACAATTTTAAAAATCAATTTGTATAAACAACTTTTTTTTTGAAAATCAAAATAACAAATATAACATTTTTTTGAAAATCAAAATGTATATTTACACTTCATCAACCTGAAATTTTACACTCATTTCGTCCTCATTATTTTTTATTACCTTCAACGAGTTTGGCAGCTAAAACCTCTCTTCGCTGTCTGAGCTGTACAAATCGTCATAACATTACCAAACTCAGAAAGTTCTCTGACTCTCTCTCTCTCTCTCTCTCAATCTGCTTTTTTTTTGGTGGTTTCAGTTTCAGTTTCAGTTTCAGTTGTGTATGATCTCTCTCTCTCTCTTGAATTGAAGTTGAAGACTCCAACTGTTTCTTCTGGTCAGTTCCCAATCGCATTTCTTCAACTTCTTAGGGTTCACTTCACAACATCATCATCATCATCATCTTCTTCTTCTTCTTCAGATCTGCTGTTTTCAGTTTTCCGTTCACTTTACCGCGCAAATTTGTTGCCTAAGAAATCCATGATCTAATCCTTTTTCTTTCTCTTTCTATGTATATTTTTAGATGCGTGATTTTTTTGACTTGAACTTGACTCGCTCGCATGCGATTTTTTGTTTCCTTCTCTAGCTTTCGGCGCAAACGAATTGCGAATTTGTTAATTGTTATGTTATGATTCTGATTGACGTTTCTAGTTTGAAGTGCAGAGGCTAGTGTAGATGGCGAGTCGGCTGAAGGAAGATGAGAAGAACGAACGCGTGATTCGAGGTCTTCTCAAGCTTGAACCGAATCGCAGATGCATAAACTGCAACAGTCTGGTAAGATTGATCAAATTACTGCGAGTAAGATTTGATGCCCTAGGCTCATTCATGTTAGATTGGCCTTGCTTCTTTGAGCATTTAAATGTAACTTTAGAAGGACTCGTACTAACTTAGTAGAAAGAAAGTAGAAACATAATGGTTGGGCCACACAAGTAATTCATGGCAGCTTGGAAGGAAGAACATTGAAATTATAACATACAATCTTTTTTCCCCTTGTTTATGCTCGAATTGAATGTATTATAGAGTGCGTGGCAGTTGCGAGCACAAACAGTATGATATGACTTTGACCTGTTTATGGCATGTGAACTAACATAGTCTTTCATTTACGAGTAAATGGTTGAAAATTGGAGTTTGGGATTAGATACGTATTTTTTTTATAATGTGAGTTTTTACTTGATTATAAACATAATCTCTGCGCGCATAGGATATTTATATTAGATTTTGGGAATGCGTCCCTTTACGGCTAGCTGCTAGCAAAACAACAGGTTACATATCACCTTCAAAATTCATGTATCTGTGTTGGGCAACTTGGGCTTTCCTGTTCTGTCATTTGAAACTAATATTAACTATGTTGACTGAGCATTTCAGAATCAAAATGAGTTAAATAAATCTCTTCATCCAATGAACAGGAATAGAAATATTTCTTACACGAGCAGTCATTAAATTTCTAGGGTTTGTATTTCATTTTTCACTAATTTACAAGGCCTATGGGGAAGGTTTAAAATCTCTAGAGCACATTGGGAGATGTGTATACCACTCCTCCCCATTAAACTCCGACTGGCGAGGATAGGAGTGCGGACAATCTTTATACACGATCTTACCCTTGCATATTTGCAAAGTGATTGTTTCCCGAATTCGAACACGTGACCTTTCAATCACAAAACAGTTTTATCACTTTCTGTATATATAGTTTAAAATTGAATATTAAGTTATTTAAGTATGTTTTTAAGTTGTGCGGTCCTTTGATTTAAGACTGATATGATTAAATAGCAAGGGTTTGATAGATTTTTAGTTAATTCCATTGGGGTGTTTGAGGGTGTAAACCTCGTCAATTATACAGATTCTGTGTCACCCATGGGCTGCGGCAGATAGATCTTATTTCATCCTTGTCAGGAATATCAATATTTCCATTTGTATATAATGTCAGGGCTGTAGCCTACAGACTACTAAAATCGCAAGGACAATAACATCGCCCATCACCTATTGATCATTCTCTAAATACCATGCAAAAACTGGATCATACTGAAGAGATAAATATGAATCTTTGCTTGAATTCTTTTCATAGGCATATTTATAATCATTCTGTAGACTTCGATTTAAGTGTTAATTTTTACTAGCTTTTAGAGCTTTCTGATTGCGTTCTTCTGAACCTAGCATGGAAATTATTGCATTTGATATTGTGAGTTGTGGAAGGTCTGTTTCATTGATTATTTTCTTTCTCTTTTGGAAGGGACCACAATATGTGTGCACAAATTTCTGGACGTTTGTTTGCACTAACTGTAGTGGAATACAGTAAGTCCTTACAAGATTTTTGCTTATCGTAGTATCTACATATCCAAACTGTGATTCGAGTTGAATACATGTTTTTATGGTTCATGGCCTGCTTTACTGAGCAGTATTGCTGATTTTAGTAGACTGAATTTTCCATTTTGTTTGTTTTTTTTTACATGTTTTGCTTATGAACTTCTACTCAAAGATGAAGCTTGAAATGTCTTTATACTGTAAATTGGGTACTTTCTGTGTATTGTTTTAGTGTTGTTTGTAATGGATTGGAGTTTCTAAAATATATAACTACCAAAATCTGATTTTCCTTTGGCAGAGAATAAATCTCAAATAAGTCCAATAATGTGCATGCTCTCATAGGCCTTGTGTGTAGAAAGTAGAAACTGTATTTTGTTTAATATATATTGTGCTGTACTGGAATAGTACAATAGCATTTCATTTCTACTGCACACTTTTCTTTGAAAGTCAACTGCTTTTGTGGTAATTTACAGCCGGGAATTTACGCATCGAGTAAAATCAGTTTCAATGTCTAAATTTACTTCACAAGAAGTTAGTGCACTTCAAGAAGGAGGAAATCAGGTATAGATGCCTGTTTGTGCTAAAACTTGTGCTTGATATCTCTTCAGTCTGACTGATGTTGTATATATCTTAAGTTGATTTATGCTTTATCTAATACTTGCAGCGTGCAAAAGAAATTTATTTTAAAGAATGGGATGCACAACGTCAGTCTTTCCCTGATAGCAGGTAACTACTTGTAAATATTTATGTATAATTGCAAGGTGCATTATGGATTTATTCTGATTAGCATATTTGGTACCAGTAATGTTGACAGGCTCCGAGACTTTATTAAGCATGTTTATGTGGATAGAAGATTCACTGGAGAGAGGACCTCTGACAAACCACCAAGAACAAAGGCTGTAAGATGTCCATTATCTCTTTTCGGATTCAGTGTTTTAAATATATATTTCAGTTTGTTACAAGTTCAATTTCAACTTGTACACTATTATTTTTCCTTTAGAATTGCTTGAATCTATCAGCTAAATCTAACTCTCCAGCCTCTTCTCTTATGTTGCATGTTATACAGGGTGACAAAGATGATTTCTATGAAAACAGGAAATCTGAGGCATATCAGGGAGGATCTAAAAGCCCTCCATATGAGGACACATATGAACGCCGTTATAGTGGGTCTAGTCCAGGTGGAAGAAGTCCTGGATATGATCAAGAAAGTAGGCAATATGGTGATTATAAGAGAAGTCCTGGTCGTCCTCCAATAATCAATGATTGGCGTCGTGAAGACCGAAGAGTGGAAAGCCAATCTCCTGAACGAGCCAAAGATCTGGGTTCTTCAAGCCCACCTGTGGTTCGACCTGTTAGAGATATTTTGGGAGAAAATGTAGTACCTCTTCGGATAAGTGAACCCCCCAAACCGAACAGTGGAAGGGCTGCTGATGGCTCAGCACTGACACAGGTGAAATTATTATTAATGATGTTCCATATGGTTCAACCATCTGGGCCTGAATCTTAATGCTACATATTTATCTGTTTTATGTTTATTTTTGTTGCTAAGCTATAACAAATTCGTTATGTTTTGTCAGTCAAAGCTGATATTTTCACTGTTATTTCAAAGATTTTTTTTTTGGGTTTAACAAACTGTTTTTAGTTTGCTGGTGAATTTATTTTTATCTGTGTTTCAAGCTTTTCTGTAAGCGTCGGATGAACAATGGGAATGTAGTCAATCTATAATTGGCATGAACACTAACTGTTCATCCGAGTTCCTCATTAATTTTCTTTGAGATGTAGCTCAGTGTTTACAGTTTTGTTTAGCATGAATTGTTTTGACAGACCTCTCCCTTGAAGTCCCTTCACCCCTTTTAGTTTAGTAAGGTAGACGAACTTGACTTGATTTTGAGTACAAATTATATAACAATAACTGACTGTTTAAAATTTAGAGAACTGCATCTTCCAGTAGCTTGGCATCCAGCAATGGGAACCCTGTAGATGTTAAGCTTGAGACTACTAAGAGCCTTATTGATTTCGATGCTGATCCTGAACTTCCTGTTGCTCCAACAATTCCTCAAGCCGTACATGCAACTGTGCCTCAACCTGTTGTGCAGCCAACGAAATCCAGTGATGACAATTGGGCCTCTTTTGATGTTGCTTCTGAGGCAAAAACAACTCCTAGCCCCTCAAATTTAAATCCACTTGAATCTGTGCTGTCCCAATTGTCTGTGCCATCATCTTTACCTGCTCATGTTTCTGGAGTTCAAGGTGACCTGCGTGTTGCAACAGCTATTCCTTTTGGGCAGTAAGATAACGTTACCAAGAACTGATGGCTTTTCTGTTTTACCTGCAGGACCTATTGCAGCATCAACTCTTACTTCTGCTTCTGGAGCTGCAAGGGTTAGCGGTTTCTCAGCTTTCCCACCCAGTGGTACTTCAGTACAATCTCCTGGATTGACAACAGTATCGCCTCTTAATAATGCAGGACAGTGGTTCAGTCTACAGCATCAGCAACCGTTGTTCCCTGCTGCTGTTAGTCAGTCTACTGCTCAACAATTTACAGCACCAGTAGGTGGAGCTGTGAATAATCAGGTTTGGCTAATGAAATAGTCATTTTTTTTTTTTGGTAATTTGAAATAGTCATTTCATTCTCAAATGTTTGTCTGCCAGTTTCTGATGTAGAATTTTTTCACCCTTTCCTGGAAATATCTTGCAGCCATGGAATATGCCCTCTGTACCCATGTTACATGGGCATCCAAACACACCAATGCCACATGCATATCCACATGCCTCAAAGCCTGCCAATGAGACTATTGCCGGTGTTGTCTCACAACCTTACACTGTAGAAGTAAAACCAAGTGAAAGAAAAGAACTTCCTGAGGTATTCTGTACTCCTTATTATACTTCACAATCATCTACTTAATGTGCACACTTGCATGTGTACATTGTTGGTCTTACAGTTAGTTGTGATTAATGCAGGATTTGTTCACTGTAAAATACTCATCCTTCCCTGCTCCAGTTCGAGGTTGGCAAATGGGTCTTCCCCATGGCATGGCTATCTCAATGCAATATAATAATGTGGTGGTACTGTTACAATCCAGAATGATTAGCTTGCCAGATTGTCTTAGTATGTGTTTGGATTAGCTTATTTTGTGTTCAAAACAACTTATAATCAAAAGCTTACTGACTACTCAAGAGAGCTTTATTTATTATTTTTAAAAGAAAAAGGAAGAAAACTATCTTTTTCTCCAAAAACAATAAAACCAAACACATGCTAAATCTGTGGCTAGTACAATAGTGCGAGCATTTCTCTCATATAAATGTCTGCCCACTGTTACAGCCAGTGCCAAGTTTTTCACAGCCATCAAAGTCAATGAATCCATTTGATGTCAGCGGTGGACCAACCCGGGATCAAGCCCCAACTGTATGTGACTTTTGATTGAAAATGTTAGTGTGTAATATTGCCAATAGTAGTTCATATTTCTTGTCAATGTCTGGTGGATAATGCAGAGTATTATGTTAAACCATTAATATTTAATGTTGCTGATTAAGGATTTTGCTCTTCTTAAGTGCAGATTTGTGCAAGATAAATGATTGTTTAAATTTTGTCTGCTATTGAGTCATCAAATCATGTTTTATTTTTTAATTATTAGTTATTAAAGTGTACATTAAATTTTAATAACAACATATTGTGCAAATTAAATACTGAATTTTGCATCTTGCACTTAGCAGAACCATATCCATTAATAAGAAAAACATGTATCTGGCAAATGCTGGGAAATTGCTATCTGTTTTCTTTGTGATCCCCTCATATTGGAAAGGCTAGAACATTATTGAAGCATGACACGCTGACTTTCTAACATGTTAGATTCAAACTTAGTATATACCCTGCCTGTTTCTGTTGGGAACTAAAAAAGGATAATCTTGGTTGATTGTTTTCTGGTATTTTTCCTTGGACGCAGTTTCCTTCCATGTCATCCTTGCAGGGTGCCCTGCCTAGTGTACCTCCTTCTGGGGCAATGCACCCTTCAAGCCTGGGTAATCCATCACATGCCTGGACTCCACCCCCGTCATCATCATATGTATCATTCCTGCCTGCACAAGCACAAACTCATGCATCAGCATTGGGACCAAGTATTTTTCTACTTTTACTTTTTTCAACTTTGTTGTATGCCTAAGATCATTTGCTTTTTAGCTGTATCCTGAACCATGTAAAAATCTCAGGGGCATACGTGGGGCAACAAATGCCAACTAACATGCCAATGCCAAGGTAGAGTACTCTTTAATCATAATATTTATTTCTTGGATAGGTTGTTTCAGATTAGGTTGTTTACTTGCTCCTGGAAACTCATATTTTGGGTCTAATCCTTTGTCGACATTCCCTAGTTATGCTGCATAGCATGAACTTATATCATATAGTGTCAACACTTCATTCTTATAAAACCCACATTTTAGTGTCTCATTCCAAGGCTTCACCGGTGTTATTCCTTGTGTGGGCAGCTATTAGGTGCGATTACTGAGAACTGTTCTATCTGTCCTGGTTTTTGAAGTAATTGGGCCAGGGGCAATTTATTGCAGTTATATTATATGGATAAACTCGATGATTATGATCGTTGGTTGTTATTCTGCATTACTTAACTTGCCACTTAGATATTTTAACTGAATGCGTAGGCAAGACGTCGGGAATTTTGGTACTGGGGGAGCTATTTTCGGCTTGTCAAATCCAGATCAGCAGCTGACTAATAGGATGTCAACTGCTCCCAGCCCTAACCCCTCCCCTGCAGGAGGCAACCCATTTGGATAATTTTGATGAATTTTCCACCGTACTTGAAAAGAGTACTAGTCAAGCATCAACTTGTTGCTCCCTGTACAAATATGTGTAAGTTTCGGTTTCTATTGCTTGCCAGTCGAAGTGATACACTCACGCATAGTGAGATATTTGTATTAACCCCTGGGTCGAAGTCAAATATTTGCTATTGGCAGTGTAAAATATGTATTGCTATAGGAATTGGGAAGACAAAATTTGCCCTCTTGTAAGTGGGGCGTTAGAGGACGGATGAATGAAGGGGATTGCAGAGAACGCTTCCAGGAGACTTTTTTTTATTATTAGTATAATTTTGGGTCCACCCATATGTTCATTTGTAGTGTAGATTGGGCTAATCTGTTGCCCCCTAGCTGTGTTCTTTTTTGGTTTTATTATATTGTATGATTTTGTGTAATCTCACAATTTTGGCAAGATCAATATTTTGTGCAAAGTACATGAAATCATCTTACTGCTACTATGGCCAAATTTTAGTTCCATGTTACTTCCTGTTTACTGAAATTAGGATGTGTGGTAGTTGTTTATTTTTCTTGTGTGGAACACTGTCAAGGGCATCCATCGAATGAATTGGTTTTCCTGGGTTAATTCTACTCATTAAAGTACATTCTCTTTACTCTTTACGGGGTTTTAATTTATTTATTTTTGGTATCGGAGTTTTAATTTCTAAGTCTCCGCATATTGTTCTTAATTTTTTAAAATTTTAAATTTGATTTGTTTTGAATCAACTATATATAATTTTTGCAATTTTAAATATTTTTTTAATTTGAAAATGTGTAATGCTTGATAGTTGACATAAAATGTCTTGTCAAACGTAATAATAATAATAACAATAATAAAGTCCCTATTATATTGTGCATTTTAAAGTTGTGTTGGTAAATAAAATGGAAAAAACTCTTGACACGGGCAAAATATTTGGTCCTACATTATTACAAAAATTAATAGTGGGTATTTTGTTTATTATTTTTATTAAGTTTGTAACTTGACCAGCATAAGCATTAAATTCGTTTGTTTGAAAATAATTTATCATCTACTAAGAAAAATTATCTGTTAAACTTTTAACAATAATATATATGAAAAAAGGAACATTAACTCGGTGTTTCATCAATTGTAACTTGGTAATCCATTTCTTACCTTATGTTGAGCATACGGTGATTCACTCACTCATGACAGGAGAATTAACAAGATATGCATTTAGTAATACGAGTAAAAATTAAAAATAGAATAAAATGATGGAATATAATTAGATTTTATATGCCTCTTGCAAGAAACCCAATGCATTGCCCTATTATTGCAATGAAGCTAGCAGCAAAAAACTATAATCATTGAAACTGATAAATTGACAAATTGTGAATGAAATTTCTGATGAGCATCCACTAAATGATTGTAAGTTACGTTATACTCTCAGTGATACATGAACAGGTAAAAGGTGTATATTTCTTTGTTCTATCCATTGAATGGAGTGAGAGGACTGTATAGCTTCATGTAATGATTCCAACAGTGTGTGTGCATTTGTGCCAGAACCATTGCTTCTGAATGAGAATTTCCTGTGTTGCAGTTGCAGTTCTTTTTTTCCTATCGGAGACAGCAGCAGCTGGAGGAGTCTATTACATATGCAGCAGATATATGGGGAAATTTGAAGATCTTAATCCTCACAATATCAAACCAGAAGAGGCATAAAAGGGAAGTTTTCATGTAGAATCAGTATATTTACTTTCCCATATGATTGGAGCTACCAGCATCCATACTGTGAAAAGATAAAAAGCTTCCTTTAATTGTATCTTTGCTCAAGAAATTACACAAAGTGTTATGTTAAATGTCTCTATCTGAGATTCATTATGCTTCGATAAAATTCAGATCTTCACGCTAGGCCTAATTTTACCAAAAAAGTTATTTCACAAAATTAAATAAATAAATACTTACAGTAAACACAAACTGCCAACCATTCATTCACTATTCTGACCCAAGAGCTGGTCCAGCCCACATCAATTGTCCATCTATAGAAGAATATAGGTATTACATAAAATTTTCACAAAATTTATGACTGCTCTTAAAGAAAGACAGAGTGAACATCTAATAAACTTGCTACTAGCACGTATAAAAAAGAAACTAGGGAAAAAAGGGGTTATGCTATGAGTGTGACAACATTTTGGGAGTGGTATTGCTGACAAATATAATAGCATAATAAAGTACTATGATCCATGATGATATTTTATGTCACACAAAGAATGCAACTTTTTCCGGGAGAGAGGCTCAAACCTAAAATTGGATTAGTCGGATCTGTTAGTATTTCGAACACCTGATGATATCTATCAAAAAAGAATTCATCTTCTAATTCTCTAAAACTTCAAGGGAATCACATTTATTGAGTTTGGTGGCATATATATTTTTGTATGTTGATTTGGCTATTAACAATAAGAAATGCAATGTGTTTCTTTTCTTTACCCCTTCCTTTATCTTTTTGGGTGACAAAGCAAAACAAGAAATCCAAGTAAATTGCGCATGACATGTTATGGGCCAATTTCAGGATGGGACCATACTTTCTCATAGAATGATGACTATTCCATCCAATCAATAGCATTGCAAAGTACATTGCTCCTGTTGCAAAAACAAAATGGAAGAAGCCATAACCATATGGAACATCATCTTCTGCAGGCGTATCACCCTTCCTGAACTGCAAGGATCAGTCAGATATGTATTAGAGAACCATATATTAAAATTTCAAGTTTAACTTAGATCCTGTAGCTTACCTGAAAGCATTTGGAATCTATGCCCGTGGAAAATGTTGCAATAACGATTGCTAGTATTGCAACAACAAAGCTCTGCCAACAGTCATTATCACAAGTTAACCAACAATAAAGAAAATAATGTGAGATCATGTATTTAAAAGTTTTAAGAAAATAAAATTACCAAGCCTTCAAAAAGAAAGTATAATGACACAAAAGCCAAAAACTAAAAATAAAAATAAAATCATGTCTTAAAGCGTGCTTAGCGGTTTTCATAATAGACATGAAATAATTATATTTTTCTGGGAACAGCATCATTTTGTCCTTAAGCTTTTTGGATGGATACATGCGCATGAAAATGGTAATAAGCATAGAACTGGACTAGGACTCACGATTTTGCATATTATACAAAAACAGCTAGGAAAAATATTATCAAGAAACAAGAGGCTAAAAAACATTATAGACAGAAATATTTCGAAGATTCACAACTATCATGTTTAAGAGAAATTAACAACACTAAGTTCAAGTTTCAGTTGAACATGAAATAATAAATATTACAATGATGTTTTGCCAGTCTGTTTTGCCTGCAGAGTGTGACTTTAAGATGCAGTTGTCTCCTGCTGGTTCACTACAAGCACAGACATGTTCTAAATCTCAAATTCAATGGAAATAAAGATAAAAAGTTAAGAGGAATATTAATCAATAAATGAACAAAAAAAAAAAAAACATTAGCAGCTACATGCATTGGCCAGCTATATCAATACAAGTCCAAAGGAATAAGCAAAGGGATTGTTCCAACTTAATCAGAGGTCTCGAGTTCGAGTTATTGAGAATGCAGTTGTGTTAAAACTTGGTAGGAAGAGTTTTGCAGCCCATGTGGTCCTACCCGGCTTGAATCGAATTACTCAAGAATAAAAATAAAAAATAAAATTGATAACTCTACCTTCTAATTGCACTCCAGCAAAGGAAGACAATATATAGCCCCATCAAGCCTGGACTTAGAATGCCAGCATTCACCTATTGAGAGAATGAAATTCCATATAAAGTTATGATGGAAGATAAAGTGAATTGAGCAAGCAAAACAACCGCAAATAGAAGTTACTTTTGGGTGCAGAGATACACTTGTCATGAGTTGGAGAAGTACTAAGGTCCAAGCAATGAAGAAAATGTTCAGGAGGCAAGATGGTTGTGGCGCATACCAAATGAACATCAAAATGATCCCCACCAAACAGATAAGATGTGAAGAACTTGCAAATAACACAATATGTATATGCCTGCACAGAAATTGAAGATTGATGTAACGTTGATTGTATAGGTATTTTTAAATTCGAAGTAAAACTTAAAAAACTAATTAAAATAGGAAAAATATTTAATAGAAAAATGTGTGTAATTAGTTCAGGTAAACTCTAAAAAGTAAATTAAAGAAATAGGAGTAGGGTTATATTTGCAAATTTTTTAAAATTCTTACAAACTACATTATGTACTTTGATATAACAACACATTAATCAATATCCAAGAACTACTGAACATGCCTTGCTAGAAAATTAAATGAAAAAAAAATAAAAATCAATTCTTAAAACTTATGTAGCTACAGTTATCTCAAGACAAATTGTTCATGCTCAGGGAAAGCCTATGTTTCTATTAGCTTGTTAACGGAAAAAATCATACCATCTTTGTGAATATTTTCCAGAGGCAAAAAAATCATTCAGCCATGTAATGAAGCGGATTATGCTTATAAGTTGAATTAGGAGGAAGACCCTGAAAAGGATAAAAGAGACAGTTAAAACAATCACAGATTAGTTTAAAGCAATGATATGGTTAAATAATTTAGAAGAGGTAAAATTTATACCCGGCACCAAAATGTGCAATCTCCCCTGCCCCAAAACAACAAAATTTGTCAGAGGCATGACAAAGGTAATATTAGTAACTTTTGTTAAAGAAATATAAAATCATTAATATAGTCTCGTGCCAAATTCATGATCACTTAATCATGTGAGCTCTGATACTATTTAAAGAATCAATTCAACCCAAAAGTTTAAATTGTTGATTGAAGCTACACTAGAATGCATTAATACTTGGAGGCTTATAGGCACAATTTACCAACCGTAGAGCTCAATCAACTCAGAAGGAAGTAAAAATGGGAAGATTGTCACAGCAACCCAGAGAATAATCTTCACTGACCACCATCCAGAGTGCCATGTATCTCTGGCTTGTTTCAATTTAGAAGTGCCAGCAGTTGACCAAAACATTATCATATAAAACATCTGATCAAGAATTAAGGTTCACCCGGCACAAATGAATATAAATACTGATTAATGATTAACATTAAGGCTTTGTTCTTCTTTCTTTTCTTTTCTACAGACCTTATTATACAAAGCCTTTACCAACTAGATTTCATGCTTATAATTGAAATTTGACAAGGATACAAAGCAACCCAAGCTCACTCGTAAAACACCATCTGCACCCAAATAGTCTTTTCCAAACTTGAATCCTTTTAACCCTGTGGATTCAATATGTTAGATTCTGATCTATTGCCATCATAAGAATGTGTTATGCTCAAACGGAGACATCTTTAGATTGGATGAAAAAAATTTAGGGTACATACATATGGTCAAATATGTGTTACTGTGTTAGGAAGAAAAATATTTCTATAATACAAGTCTAAAACAAGGAGAAAAATACTAAATGTTATAATGATGGGATTAGAAAGTTTAAACAATCAATTTAACCCAAAAACTTAAGTTGATTAATGTTTTATATTATATAATATACACTTCCTCACACGAGGCACTATTGGTACAATCCTTAGGCTCACCTCTCACAATATTTAATTATTTATTAATAGAATATGGATAGCGAAAATAGAATTTGTGACACCTTGATTACAAAGAGTCTTATATCATATAAAAAAATTAATTCAACCCAAAAATTTAAGCAGTTAGGTAAAGTGAAATTAGTAATTTTATGGGTAATACTTCTCTCATTTAACATAAAAGAAGTTTTTTTTCCTACACTAACAAGAAATGTGGAGCCCACAAGTTAAAAGAAAAATAAAAAAGAAAAGAAATTACAGGCACATCTTTTTATGTCTCTGTGACATGAGATGGTTATCTCCTACAGTTGGATAAAACAATTTCCCTAATTTTATATTATATATCATATTTTTCTGAAAGAAAGTTAAAAAATTCAAGGATTCAAGCAACCTTACCCTTCCGTTTTGTTAAAGCACCAAGGCTAGAAAGTTCATCACGTGCAGCCCATGCCAAGAGATTGGAGAATAAGAATATCAAGCCATAGGCATATCTTGCCATCAAAGGATTGGATGCATTTCGGAATTGACTGTACCATGAGGTATCCTTGCATGGTTCACAACTCTGGTTACTACAACTGTTGCTTTCCCCTGTCTCCATCTCTTTCTTCAACAAAGCAATGATGCTACGCACAGTGCATGAATGGATCACAGACAGAAGAAAATGGGCCTCACGCCACTAAGATCTTCTATTCTTTTAACCTGTACTATGCAACACATTAAAAGACTCAGCCATTGTCACGGGAAATTCATTACCTTCAACTAAGCCTCAAATGAAACAAGATTTATAATAACAACAATTAGCTTTCTTGGTGACTTCATATTCACGTAACAGAGAGAATAATAGTTATTTCAATTGGTCCTACCCATCGTAGATTTTTTTTTGGCCATGCTTTATCTTAAAATACCAACATAGACTAAAATTCTAAACCCCAAACTTTATAGGTATGCCTAACAAATTGTTAATATTTCCTTTTTCTTTGGCAACTAGTAGTAAAGTGACCATGATACTTGTCTCGGTTTCAATCCTCAGCGAACAAATTACCACTTAGCAAGAAAATAAGTTAATACCCCCCAAAAAAATATTCAATAGAACATTCCTTTGGTTCGACAAAGTCTTACCTTCTTCATGTGGAGGATGGTATGTTTCCCGAAAGCATTATTTAAAAATATAAACGCAGAATTTTGTCTGTTGCATTATATTATATGATTTAATGCTCATCAACAAAAAAATAAATTTCTACAGAGTAACGTTTTAAAAATATTTAATGATATTATTAAAAGTAAAAGAATTTAATTAATTACAATATGGTGTACTTTTATTGTTAATGATATAAAACTTTTTCTATAAAAATCAAGAGATTAATGTTTATCATATTATAAGATATAATTTTATTTCCGAATTACATAAAAATGTAAAGCCAATATGGAGTCTTCACCCATATGGAGTTATGTGAAGAGATAAGAGAGAAAGAAAAAACATGGACATCAACTTTTTTATGTGCGTATGAGATAAAATTATCTCGTATAACATGATAAACACTATCCCAAAAATCAATCAAATTAAAACTTTCTTTTAGTGGGTTTCAACTTTGTATTACCCAAAAGATGAACATTAGGAAGGCTTTTCAAACAAAAAGCACTCGCTAAAGTTTTTCATGAAATTTTCCCCTTTTCTCCTTTTTTCTATTTGTTGGAAAAAAGTGAAATAGCTTTTTTTTTTGGTATCCAAAGTGAAATAGCTTTATCACGTCGTTTGTTTTCGTAGTTCCGTGATTTTCCTTCCCAGTGGTAATATAATTTCAAAAAAAGAAAAAAAAGGAAGAAAGTGAAAATTACAAAATCACTTTTTTTTTATAAAAAAATATATTTTGAGCTTAACAACTGTTAACCATTTTAGTAATAATTAAATTCATAAGTTCACTAATTTTGCCAACATTTTAACACTCTTAATTTAAAAATAACTTACTTAATACTCATTTCAATTTTTTAAATAAAAAATAGCACAAGCAGGATGAATAAAGAAATTAAAATTTGTTTGTACCAAAAAAGCAGAAATTGAAAGATTTCTATGAAAATAAAGAAGAAGGGAAAAAGCAGAATTAAGTTATCAGTCCAACATCTTTTTTATTTTAAATAGAATAATTGGGTTGTGTGTAAAGTAGAGTGATTGGTTTTCTTTTACCCCAAAGTAAGCGTGCAAATTAGTTTCAAAAAAATAGAGAAGTAAGCGTCCAAATTGATTTTCTCGGCATACAAGGATTCAGTTGTTACTAACATACGTGATATGATATATATATATATATATATATATATATATATATATATATGGGTGTGTGTGTAAAAGTTACAAACTATAATTTAAATAAATTAATAATTCAGAGAATGATGAAATGATTCAATTGAACACAACAGCAGAATACATGCCAAAAATTAATGAAAGACAAAACAAAAACAGATAAAAATTATATAAGAAAGCATTCACAAAGCATAATGGTAAGAATGAAACCTAGTAGTAGCAATACATATTTCATAGACAAATCATGAGAATCATGAGTTGATAGAAACGCCAAGAATCAAACAAATCAACGAATGTAACATGTAAGCAGTACCTGTGTGAGACGAAGATCAAAGCATTGGAGAAGAGAAGAAGAAGACGGAGATCAATAACTGTAAGATCAGAACATTCTCTCTCTCTCTCTCTCTGGATCTCTCTCCAAATTTGAGATAAACAACAACAACAAAAAAACACACAGAATTGTTGCTATGTTTGTAGCTTTTTTATATGCTTTTAGCTGTTTAAAAAATGATTGAGATCAGAAACACTTAAGAGACAGAGACATATAGAGACGTTGCTTTTCGGTGTTTTTTCCTTAGCTTTTTGCTTCTTTTTCCCCTCCCTCAGCTTAAGCTTCATGCACTTTTTTTCCCTTCCACGCTGTTATACCTTTTAAGCTAACTGTTTTTCCCCAACACAACTCCCTTACATTGAGTACACGGTATTTACACAAATATATATATATATATATATATATATATATATATATATATATATGGGATTTGTATTTATCGTCATTTAATATGACACAATAAACTTTTCTACACACAACATTTTGTGGGGCCACACTTTTTGAAAAAAGAGAGAGAAAAAAAGAAATTATGGCACGCAAAACGAATCTCTATAACATTAGACAATCACTTTTCCTACAACATAACTCTTATAAAACCATATATATATATATATATATATATATATATATATATATGGGTCAGGATCATTTTACACCAGTGTTTACACTCTTAATCTTGTCCACTGATCCCACTTATATCTAAGGGCTCAAAAATCTTAGTAATATAAGCCATTGGATACAAGTGAATCAATGGTCAAGATTGAGTGTAAGACTTCTAATTCTTACACTGGTGTAAGAATATCCTGCCCCTATATATATATATATATATATATATATATATATATATATATATATATATATATATATATATATATATATATATACGAGGCAGGATTCTTTGACATGTCAAATTTGAAATTTGACACTTTATCTGAGAGCCGTTACATAAAAAAAGATCAATGGTGTCACATGTTTACAAATCAGAGTCGTTGATCTTTTTTGATCTAACGACTCTCAGATGAGGTGTCAAATTATCATAACACATATATATATATATATATATATATATATATATATATATATATATATAGATAGGGAAAAATATTTCTCAAACAGCTTGAGATAAGTTTATCTCCGGCTACCCCAAAACTACGTCGTTTTGTTTATTTATTTCCTTATATTAATTGATTCACCTTTGAATGGTTATGATTCTCTTTTTCTCTCTCTTCCTTTATCACCATTGATCCATATTTGTACGGTTATGATTTAGTAGCCGAAGATAAAATTATCCCAAGCAGCTTGAGAAACGATAAGCTCATATATATATATATATATATATATATATATATATATATATATATAGGACAGGATATTCTTACACCGATGTAAGAGTTAGAAGTCTTACACTCAATCTTGATCATTGATCCACTTGTATTCAATGGCTTACGTTAATAAAAATTAGAGCCCTTAGATATAAGTGGGATCAACGGACAAGATTAAGAGTGTAACTTACACTGGTGTAAAATGATCCTGACCCATATATATATATATATATATATATATATATATATATAGTTTTTATTGTTTATTTATAATAAATATTACTTTATTTTTTTTATACTAATGCTAATTACTTCTTTGAGGCGAGTAGACTTCTCGAGTATTCCCATAAACTTTTACTCTTTGAACCGATTATTCAACTAACCCTGATTATAGAGCAAGTCGAGTATTACTTTATTTTTTGTATATTTATATTTTGATTATGTTATATAACCTCAAATGTGAAATAATTTTTAAGGGTTGATTCTCATCTTTTTCTCTTATAAATAAACTTTTTTTTTTTTACTTTTTTATATTTTTAATTCAATGGTACGTAGTACCATGACAAGAATTTTTTGTCAATATTTTTTGAATGATTTGATAAGCAGTCATTTGATTAAATGTAAAGAAATGAATCCCTGTTATTATAGGAAGACAAATTTAGAAGTAACAGCTAGTTCGCATGCTGCAAGAGCAAAGAGTGGTTGGTGGTTTTCATGATAATGATCATAATAATCATGTCACCATCCAGGCGTTAAATGAGTGTAACACGCCACTAAGTTTATGACTGGTTTCATGCTTGATATGATTATATTGTTGGTTGTAGTAGTAATAATAATAATATTAATATGGGTTTTTTACATTGTCATATTATACTATATGGCTATTGACGTTGGCATAAGGTTGTTCAGATTTTATTTTATTTTTTTCATTATGACTTATCAATTTTATGAATGTCAATCTTTTCTTTGTAATGAATAATGTTAAATATCTTGGCCTTTTTATTAATTACAGGGGATCAGGAAATAATATTTAGCGAATATAATTTTAAGAAAGTGGTCCCTTTAATTTTAAGCTTTATATATACTTATAAATTCTTATACATTTCTACTCATTTTTTTTTTCTTTCACATGATAATATCAAATACAATTTTGTTTCGTCCATTAATAGTTTTAGTGCTGTACGTAAATTAGGCATGATCCAATGTTCTGAAGAAAAGATTCCTTATAACTAGTGGGTTTCTGCACTGAAAACACATTGTCCGTCCATTATTGTTTGATGTTCTTAAAGGAAAATAAATGGTGGTCCATTTGGTGCAATTTGCAAGTGAACAGAGTCTTTTGGTTTCTTACGCACACATAAACATCGAAAGGAATAGCAAAAAGGAGTTTTATGCTTCTTCTCAACGCTCGGATTCTGACCATAGAAAAACTGAAAAATGCAATTAGAGATAAGGATTCTAAAAGGAAGACATTTCTTAAAAAGGACCTAATCACGATGCTCGTAGCATGTCAATTATAATTTCAAATGAATAATTAAAATTGAATTTGATTAATGCATGGTCCACCACACTTGGGTTTGTAAACGTGATTTATTTGCCAAAAATAATAAAGCAACCAAGGAGTTTATTATAAAAAGGGGTGAAGCAGATACGAATAACGTGTACATATTAAGTCCACGTAAAAGTAGGGGTATAAGTGAGTCGGGCTAATTTACAGGAACATTCGGTCTAGCTTATATTAGGTCAAACTCGACCTATTACATATAATTAAATAGAACATGCCCGGTTTTAAAAAAAAACCTATTTAAAAAGCAATTCTTAGACTTTTTTTACAGGTCAGCCTATATTATATTATTTATTTAAAATTAAATGATATAATATTATTCACAGTAGTATCAAATAGTGATAGTTCAGTTGGTGGATATGAGCTGAGTAAGTGATTGAAGGACCTAGGTTTGATCCCCACCAATATTACCTTTGGGAGTGACATAAGATTTGTATCAATCTCTACAGTAGCATCAGAATCAACATTTAGTGCTAAAGGAAGAGTTATTGATACTTATCGTTTTAGCTTGCCTGAAGATACCATCCAAGTTTTAATATATGGTTGAGATTGGCTACGTAATAAGTATTGCTTGAAGAAAAGCAGAAGGTATAAAAATATTTTTTATTTTTTTTTCTTTATATTCTTTAATCTTGATTTTTGTTTTCTATATTTACAAATTGTTTGCCAACTTATGTAACCTTGGAATTGTATTTGCAGGGGAAAGAAGATGATGAGAAATTTTTGGCTACTACAAACATCATGAATGATGTATTTGTTGGATTCATGCAGTTATTTTAATTTACATAGTATGTATTAATTTGTTGGATTTGATAAAATATATGTTATTTAGTTTGGACATTTTACTTTTGAAATTGACTTAAATGCATATTGTGATAAGTTGTTGGTATGATTCATGGTTTTGTTTGAATGTTGAAATTGTGATTTTTATTTTAACAACAGAATTTGAGTATTTTGTAAAGTTGATTCACTTGAAAGAAAAAGGTATTTAAAATATTATTGAATTGTGTAAATAATCTGTACAAAGAGGTCTCTATTTATAGAGAATGAAAAACCTAATACTTGACATAATGGGCTTGGCCCAATACAACAAATAATAATAATTAAATAACCAATATTTACAACACTCCCCCTCAAGCTGAGGAATGGATATTTATCATTCTCAGCTTGCTAGTAAGTTCTTGAGATCTGTCTGGAGGAAGTCCCTTTGTTAATAGATCAGCCAATTGATGCCCAATGGGAATGTATGGAGTGGTAATCAACCCGCTATCAAGTTTCTCTTTGATGAAATGGCAGTCGATCTCAATATGTTTAGTCCGATCATGTTGAACCAGATTATGAGCTATACAAATAGTGGATTTATTGTCACATAGCAGCTTCATAAGTCCCTCACATTTTATTTTGAGATCATCAAGTACAATTTTCAGCCACAGTAACTCACAAATGCCTTGAGCCATAGCTCGAAATTCAGCTTCTGCACTTGATCTGGCAACCACATCTTGTTTCTTACTTCTCCATGTCACTAAGTTATCACAGAGAAACATGCAATAACCAGTGGTAGATCGACGGTCAGTCACGGATCCAACATAATCAGCATCAGTGTAGACTTCTAAAGAGAGATTGCCATCACGTCGGAATAACAATCCTTTACCAGGAGTAGCTTTAAGATACTGAAGAATTCTCTCTACTACCTGCATGTGTTTCTCCTTTGGATCGTGCATAAACTGACTGACAACACTAACAGCATAAGCTAGGTCTGGTCTAGTATGAGCCAGATATATCAATTTTCCAACTAGCCGTTGATATTGTCCTTTATCAACTGGATGATTCTCCTCTTCGTAGCCTATCTTGTGATTCTGCTCAATAGGAGTATTAGAGGGTTTACACCCGAGCTTTCCTGTTTCTTTGAGAAGATCAAGAACATATTTCCTCTGGCTGATAAAAATTTCTTTGCTTGAATGAGCTACTTCTATCCCTAGGAAATATCTCAGTTTCCCAAGGTCTTTGACTTCAAACTCAGAGGTAAGTCGTGTTTGCAGAATCCGTCTCTCCATAAAATCATCACTTGTGATAATAATATCATCAACATATACAAGGAGCACAGTAAGCTTCCCATTTTGGGAGTGCTTGAAGAAAATAGTGTGATCTCCTTGACTCTGTCTGTATCCTAAGGTCATCATAACCTTAGTAAACCTTCCAAACCAGGCAGGCACAAGGTGACTGCTTCAATCCATACAAGGCCTTTTTTAATCTACAAACTTTATTTTCTCCCTTCACAGAATCAAAACCAGGCGGGATTTCCATGTAGACTTCTTCTTCTAACTCACCATTCAAGAATACATTTTTCACATCAAATTGATTTATATCCCAATTGTAATGGGCAGCAAGGGATAACAAGACTCTCACCGTATTCATCTTTGCAACTAGAGCAAAGGTTTCTTCAT